GCTTTAGCAAAATGCCCTTCCCGACAAGTTGCGTTTGATCTCCACAGTGTCTGATTTTTAAAAGGGGCTATTTCTGTTGCATTTTAAGTGACTTTGTGATCTTATATCTAGTACATTTTTCATGTCGTTTTCGCACTTTATTTCTTTCTGAATAAAGTATTTATATGTCGCAGCCGCTCGTGATTTTCAGCCGCTAGTGATTGAATCACCATCGGCTAGCCGCTAGTGATTGAAACCATCGGCTAGCCGCTAGTGATTGAAACCATCGGCTAGCCGCTAGTGATTGAAACCATCGGCTAGCCGTTAGTGATTCAATCACGATCGGCTAGCCGATGGTGATTGAAAGTTTTTAATGAAACATTTGGAATACAATGTTGATTTATCTCACGATTACAATGCAGATTTATCAAATAAAACACTTAGGTTAATAGGACCAAATATTTTAACACTTCGGGAGGTAACTTCCGTTGTCAAATTGTTGCCTTCTGTTGCCAAATCTTTTTAAAAAGATGTTTTCAAAAAAAATTTAAGGCAACGCCACTCATTCCATCTTTTAGACACAAACTATTACTTTCTTCGGTGTTTAATGAGTAATAATTTTTATTTTAAGTAATAGTTGAGTAATAATTTTTCAATCGTTTCTTTTTTTCGATTTATCGTTGCAACTTTTCTAGTTATTTTTTTAGAAATGGAAAGTAAATTTGTCGATCGCCTTACGCAACATCAATCTACGAAGAAATACAATTGGATACAATACAAACCAAATAACCGTGAAGATACAAAAGGAAAAAGACTCCTGAAGAAATACATTTGTTAAGTGCGCTTTACTTTGCAAAAGGAGAACGATCTCGGACATCATCTACAACATTATTGAAGAACCGGAGAAATGAAACGGGTGATCATCAAGGAAAATCTCTTTCTAGCGTTGATGAAAACACACAAGTGATCATGGACACCCTGGAAGGAACATAATGTGGAAAGCACTAAGGGAATATCGAGCGATATCAATGAGATTTTTGTCAAAACTCTGTTCTGAATGTGAATTCGAAGCCAAAGGCACGCTGAGAAAAGGAGTCGTTGTCAAGCCAATCAATACCAAACAACAAATCGAGCGGGCTCCAAGCGGATCTGATCGATTTGCAATCAGTACCAGATGAGGATTTGATGCGTAAATGGTCGATGAAAGTGCCACAAGTCGAACGCGTTTTGTGCAACAGTCGATGTCACAAACAGCAATCCCTGCTCAAACAAGTAACATGCTTTAATTTTTAGTTATGATTAGCTAAACTTAATTTTGTTCTAGCATTGTTGTGTTGCACCTAGGGAAGGTGCTAATAACATTTTTTTGTTGTTAAGCTTGTTTGCTTATTACATGTTTGCAATAAATGAAATCCTTTGAAAAGTGAATAAAACTTGCAATTCCATAAAGCAAAAATATTAAGCAAAATTTATTTTCATTTAGATGACATCATTTTTCGAATTTGGCAACAGAAGTTACCTCCCGAGGTGTTAAAATATTTGGTCCTAACTTTTTTATTTGCATGTGAGATAAATCTGCATTGTATTCCAAATGTTTCATTAAAAACTCCATCACCATCGGTTAGCCGATCGTGATTGAATCACTAGCGGCTAGCCGATGGTGATTCAATCACTAGCGGCTGAAAATCACGCGAGCGGCTGCGACATATATATAAAGTTTTCAAAGTTTCTTGCCAACCTTGATTTGAATGATATCAAATTGAGCTTAATTGGATTAAGGTCAAGAAAATGAAGAAAATGAAGAAAATGGAAGAAAATCCTCAATCCTAAAGGAATCTTCAATCCAGAAAATCCTAAAGAAAATCAAGAAAAGATTTAGCAAACTTTCCATTAACCTTAACAACTTTAAAAAATTCTAACAAAGTAAAAAGTCGATTTGTATTCTAAAATGCAAACAAAACATTTGGGCAATAGGGTAATAGGGATAACGATGACCGCAGTGCCATAAAATGCTCTTATTATGTCTTATTATGTATCCTTTTTTTTGTATCGTCGATTTTTGTTTTGCAAGAAAAACACTTGTCAAAGACAAAATTTATTTTAAAGCTTTTAAACATCTGGCCGTGTCTCAACATTCCAAAGAAAACATTGAAAATATGTCAGCCATAAACTATGAGATCACTTTGTTTAGAAAGAAAAATAAATCCGAAAAATAAAACAAAAATGGCCATTCCTTCTCTAATCATTGAGCGAAATCTTCGTATTAGTCGTTTTTTGTTTTCTCTTTTTGCTTCATCAAAACTTTCTTCTGAAATTTGATTTGAGAGTTGTTAGTGAAAGAAAAACAGCTTCCGTTCGACAAATAAGTTCTACTTGCTTGAAATTACCATAAATTACCGTAATTACGGAAATTACCTTATGCTATTACCGCAATACTCTACTAGTAACGCCCCGAACAGTCGGGTAGTCGCAAAACATTTTTTACATTTTCATTTTCACTAAATCATTTTTTTTTTTCTAAGCGCTCATAATTTCGAAAATGCATTTTTGGTATCAAAAATAGTTCTGAATTTCAGCTTTCATTTTATACCTAAGCGCACATTGTAGCATAAACGAGTAGCGAGAAAATGCGTTTAAAGTTAGACTACGCGACGCTCTGACCGTCATTATGGAGAGGGGGTCTACTATTACAGGTATTACGGTAGGAATTCCCTTTACAACATTTTAGAATTTATTTCAAATCTTATTTATTATGCACCATTTCTTTATGACAGTTATTCAAATTATTCATGGTGTTATCTTGCATGCACAGAAGTCCCATTTTGCCTTGCAAAAGCGCTTAAATTGCTTTTAACCTAAGCCTAAGCTTTAAGGTTAAGATCTACAAGATAACACCATGAATAATGTTAATGATTTTAATTGAATCTCATCATAATCTTTGTTACAAGAGTTTTACATCAAATCGGCAATGCCGTGTGTGGAAAAACGTAAGGAAGATTTGACTTTCTAAGCTTTCTAAAAAGAATTCAAGCTCCACAAGATAACACCATGAATAATATGAATAACCGTCATTACGTGAAGGCGCTACTATTTCAGGTATTACAGGTAGGCTTTTCAAGAAGTCTTTTCATTCCTTTTCATTCCTTTTCTTTTGAAAAATAACAAATATTGATGCTTTCCGGTTAACGGGCGGGTAAAATTTTTTGACCATTTTACAGCCCGATTTGAAAGATGTTTTTTTGTTGATAACTTTTGATGAAATAAATATTTTCGAAAAGCTAACATTCTAAGCTATCTAAATCTTATAAAATTTGTTGATCTAACAAGTTTAAAGTGCTTAAAATCGGGCTGAAAAAATGTAAAATAATCAAAAACTTTACCCGCCCGTTAACCGGAAAGATCCCAAATATTCACTAATTAACTTTCTTCAAATCTAAAGCTTATTTTTCTATTTTCCCAAGAAATGTTGAAGGTATTCCCATTAAATCAAGTAGATTAGATTCATTAGATTAGATTTTGATTAGATTTTTAGATTGATTAGATCAAGTAGATTAGATTTTTGAGCTTTCTCTTAGCTCTGCCTTTACCTTTAAACAACTCTATCCCTACCTGTACATGAGTTCATAAAGAAAGTGACATCTTTATGAAAGAGAGTTGTTGTCGATCATATTGTGGAGGGAAAATCATGCAACCATTTGTGGCTCGAATCCAATTCATTCCACCACACACTTTTCCCCGTCTCCCTCTCCCACGCAAACACTCACTTTGACACTCTTCTAGAATACTCATGACAAGTGATATCGACTAGTTGTTGTCGAGCATATTGTGGAGAGAAAATCAGTATCGTATTCCAGATAATTTTAGACATAGCTGCAGGTAGTATTAACGTAGTACGTATTAAGTTTTAACTTTTAGTTTAACTTTTATTTTAACTACAGTGCGTTTCAAAAATTCTTAAACGCACCCTCTAAAATAGCGAATTTTGCATTTTGACCACCTCTACCACTATTAATCTTTTTTCTATTAGAAAGAGCATGTCTTAAAACCTAAATAACACGAAAAATAAGCATACTGTAAAAACAAAAATTTCAAAATAGAAACTTTTGCTAAATCAACCGTTTCAAATTCTTAAACGTACTATGAAAATATTTTTATTTATCGACACAAATAAAAATCAAAGGTAAAAATCAAAACTAATAATCTGTACACGCACCAGAACGATTAATTACTTGAAAAATCCGGTCTGGCATTAAATTGATGAGGTTTTGAAGAGCAGGGACGTCGAGATCGCTCCAGGCCGAAAAAATTGCTGCTTTAAGTGTAAAAACGTCTTGAAACTGACGATGATTCTTGTAGACAGCTCGAACAAGTATTCCCCATAAATTTTTTATTGGATTGAGGTCAGGAGACTGTGCGAGCCAGTCCAAAGTTGCAATGTTGTTGTTTTTCAGCCAATCTCGGGTATCTCCGGCTCGATGAACTGACGCGTTGTCCTATTGAAACAAATCGGGAACGGTTTGATTTAGGAGCGAAAACGGCGACAAAGCAATTTTTCAAGATATCTATCTAGTCATCCGATTCGAAACCATCTTCAGAGCGACCGTTCCATCAGCACAAAATGCGGCCCAAACCATCACAGAATCACCGCCAAAGTTTCGAGTCCCAAACACCATCGGATCACGTCGAAGATCCCTCCAATAGTAGCCAACACCATCGGGGCTATCCAAATTTCATTTCTTCTCATCGGAAAAGATCACCTAAACACAAAAAATAATAAAACACAATCGGCTTTCCAACCATAGACCAATCCTGATTCATATGAGCCTTGGCGAACGCCAATCGGGCTTCCTTGTGCAAAAGCGTCACAGCCGGTTGCTTGTTCAACAAGTGTCGATCGATATGTGAATTTTCCGTGACGGCTCACCAAATTGTCGACTTCGAAGCGTCGATTTTCAGTTCCGTTTTCACTTCATTGATCGTTTTTCCGTGGATGTTGTTCACAATATGACGTCTAGCTTACGGTGTAAGCTTTGGTTTTGGTCCTGGCTTCTTGGTGCAGAACGAACTCGGACTTTATATAATTTCGCACGGCAGAGTCGGATCGGCCCAAATTTTTTGTGATTTTCCTTATTGAGTCGCTAATCCTCAAACGGGCATCAATCTGGCCTTTCTCATAATCCGTGAGCAGTTCCGTGTGCCATTTATCTGGAAATTAACAAAAATTATAAATTTAATAAAAAATATGCACAACAAAACGAAAAATTTCAAATAACAACAGCAAGGGCGGGTGCGTTTAAGAATTTGAAACGGTTGATTTAGCAAAAAGTTTCTATTTTGAAAATTTTTGTTTTTTACAGTATGCTTATTTTCGTGTTATTTAGGTTTTAAGACATGCTCTTTCTAATAGAAAAAAGATTAATAGTTGTAGAGGTGGTCAAAATGCAAAATTCGCTATTTTAGAGGGTGCGTTTAAGAATTTGAAACGCACTGTATTATTGGGTTGTCCAGTTATTGGGTTGTCCAGTTATGAATGCGCGTTTTTACTATTTTGTAAATTTCTCAAGATATCGAACAGATGTAGATGAGTGTTATATATCATTCGGAAAGCTGAAGATCTCCTCTACATTTTGGAATAAAAAGTTTTTGAATTCATTCAACTTTTTGGGAAATTGACTACACAATGGGAAAGGTCGTATTCGAAAAAAACCCATTTCAGCTTAGCTATTCCTCAAGTTTTATGGTGTATTGATATATCTATTGGCCAAACATCAAACGGTTAACACAATTTGAGCAGAGCCAAAACTTGATCCAAAGACACCCTTCCATTTTTTTTTGGCCACCTCTTCTTCTGTGCAGTCAATTTGCCCAAAAGCTGAACAAATTCAAAAACATTTTATATCAAAATGTAGAGGAGATTTTCAGCTTTCTGAATAATACTCATATATATCTTTTTCTTGATTTAGCTATCTTGAGAAATTAACAAAATAGTACTGGACTGGACAACTGGACAACCCAATAGTTTTTCTCAATTTCTGAAATTTACCCAATGTCTGTGCGGATGTGACAAGTGACGCATCAAGATCTTCCAGTATCGTATTCACAATTGGAGTTAAACATCGAGAAATGATAAAGCTGGGAATGATGAGTTGATCTGAAAAAACTCCTAAAGAATTTATTTTTCTTTCAATTACCTGGTGTTCTTGGTTGCGCTGGTGGACAGACATTCTCGTAGTAGTCAATCGTTTTCGATGTTTGAAGCGCTGTTCTCGTTTGTGATGAACTTCCACCATTCACTATGCAGATCTGAAATAACATTTACGTTGTTATGCATTTTCTAAAACCTTTCTACTAAAATCATAGTTGACACTGGCACTAATAGAGATCAGAAGTGTAGAGACAAGTGACGAGACAATCCCTGAAGATCAGGGTTTACTTTGAAAGTTGATATTCTTCGAAGTATTTGATTTCTTTTGATAGATTCTTTTGATAGACCTGCTCGTTCAAACTCTAATGTGGTAAATATTATATAAAAATATTGAAATCCTTAATCTTAGCTACATTTAGCTATTTAAAGTTTTCCGATCTGAGATATATTAGGTTGTCCAATAAGTAATGCGTGTTTTGACACGATTTTCAAAATATCACAAAATTAACAAAAGAGAACTTTATTAATCGATATATTCTCCACAACAATCAACAACATTTCTCCATCGTCCGAGCAAAGAGTGAAGTTCGTCATAATAGAATGAAGCTGGTTTCGATGAGAAGAAATCGTCGAGCCATTTTTGCACCTCGTCAACACTTTTGACTCGTTTCCGTCCGCAAATCGTTTAAACCAGCGCTGGCACTGGCTGATTGAAATTGAATCCTCTCCAAATGCGGCACAGATAGTTCGATGGCAATCCGCTGCAGTTTTACCTCGTTGGAAATCATACAGCATTGATGCGCGGACAACAAACTTTTTGCCTTTCATCTGCAAAACAACATATCTATTATAAAACAAAGGCAAATGAATAAAATAATATATAAAAATAAACACAAGATGCTGATGATTAAAAAGAGCATATATTTGCTCGAAGCGATTTCGCAATAGTTTCGAAATAAGTAACACGCATTACTTATTGGACAACCTAATAGAAATCATTTTAAAAGCTTTTAAATGAGTACTAGTTGTTTGTCAAAAATGGCATCAAAGAGATCAACTAGTACTCATTCAAAAGCTTTTAAAATGATTTTTATATCTTCAATCGAGAAACTTTTAGCTGATAAATATAGTTAAGATTAAGGATTTCAATATTTTATATAATATTTAACACATTAAAGTTTAAACGAGCGCGTGCTAATCTATCAAAAAAGAAATCACCGTAAATACTGAACACCTATTGTACTATTGTTAGTTTTGATTTGATTATGTTACCGTCTTTTCTCTAATAGTAGTGCACCGCAGCGAGCCGAGTTGATAACTATTTTACGGCTTTTAAAGTTTTCACAGAAGCTCAACACTCAAATCCCCCACAAGATCTCATCGTCAGCTACATTTCCCGACCCCACATCGATAGGTTCTGATAAGTGGTTCTCGAGATTTCGAGATTTCGACCAATTTAGGCAAACGGTGCACTACTATTATAGAAAATACGGTATTGATTTGCTAAAAAACACCTAAGCTATCAGAATCGAAATGCTGCTTTACTGCTGCTTTACAAATAGCTAAAGTTTTGTATTATTCGATTAGGAATCAGTCAATGATTGAAATGATCAAATAAAGCTGACTATGATAGCTTAAAATAGATGTATTTTAGAAAAGCTACCGTAGAGACACTCCATTCAACGCTTTTTCCTCATAGTTTGGTAAAGCTCGATGGGAATATTTCAAGAAACACGGAGCATCGCTGACGATCGCTAACTCTGAAACTTTGATTCCGTCTGAAGTTCTCCTTTTAAACCTTTCCCCGATGGAGTTGCTCTAGAGATGGTTGTTGGAAAAGAAATTGAACGAGTTGTGATTGATGATGTTGTTGATGTCATGATTGTGGCTCGAAATCCAGAAGAAACGATAGCTGGCCTCTTTGTCCATTCAAGACGACGAGCGGCTCGGCATCGATCTCTTGCTCGGAATCTATCACAAATTGAGTGCTCAGCAATGGTGTTGGGAGTAGTGAAAGGGGCTGGAAATGGTTTTCGTGAATCAATTTGAGATTTAGAAAAGAGTTTCCAGAATTCTAAACTCGATTTCGATGCAAGTGTATCAGATTTATTAAAAGAATTTCTTTAAACCGGCTTACTATTCGGTTTGTAGTAGTGACGAGTGATGGGACCGGGTCGAATCGCTTTAATCGTATTGGCTAAATTTTAAATACAAATCGTTAATAAGATGTAAATCTGAATAGACATTGGCACTATAAACTATAAAAACGAATTCACACACTACAAACGCTTCTAAATTACTTTAAATCTACCGAATCGTTGTAAGCTCTGGCTCAAGAGATAGAGAATTTTACAGAGCTTTCGAATCGACTATAGTACCGACAACAATCTCAATGCTGAAGAAAGTTAACTTGGTTTATAGTCGAAGCAAGCAATGGGCCACTGTAATTTTCTTTAGCATTCAGATTTTTAGATATGTTTTAGTTCATTCAAAAGCTCTTGAAATTCTCTATCTTTTCAACTATAGATTATAACAATCCAGTAGATTTAAAACAAGTTAGAAGCGTTTGTAGTGGTCGTAGTAGTAGTCTAAAACAAGTCAAAGAGTTAACTACTTGGTGAGAAGGAATTGTTAATTTACTTGTTATTGCTGGGGCGATCGTTGGCGGACTTGGATTTGCTCCTTTAGCTGGGATTAAGATTACAGAGCCTCGAACCTGAATGAATTTCTCAAAAAAAAAAACCCTCAATACGATAACAATACGATAAAAATGATGGTTAAAAATTAGCAAAGCTTCTTTTCTTTTCTTTTCTTTAATCTTTTCTTTAATCTTTATATTCTTTATTCATTGAGTGTTATCAGTGTCAACTAGAGTGCGTTCCTCGCGAGTAACGCGTTTTTTTAAAAAGCACACTTGGGAAAAAAATTACCGTACTTTTAGCAAAAAAATTCTTGCAAAAAAATGACGCAAAAATGACGAGCACCGCGTTATATACGACACTTTTTAAAGATACTCAGCCGTTTAACTGAGTATCTCTAAAGATATTGATTTGGTGGGGAAATTCCCGTCCAATGTAAAAGATGATTTTGGGAGTGGGACAAATGCGACCTTTTTTTTTGCGCACCCGGACATTTGCGCACCTTTTTTTCCGCACCTTGCCCATTTGCACCTTTTCGCGTTTTAAAAAAGTCTAAAGCTAATATTAACCGATTTCTATTCCAGTTGTTTTCTAGGTAATTTTAGGGCGTAGAATCGAAATTTTGGCATATCAGAGCTTGTGGAAGCGAACGGACGGAGTTATACAAAGAGAAAAATCGACCATTTTCTGTAATTTGACCTACCCGTTTTGTCTTTCAAATTGATTCCACACGCTCTGTTATGTCAAAATTTCGAATCTACGCCCTAAAATTACCTAGAAAAACAACTTTTGGAATAGAAATTGGTTAATATTAGCTTTTAGAGCTTTTTTAAAACGCGAAAAAAGGTGCGCTAATGGGCAAGGTGCGGAAAAAAAAGGTGCACAAATGTCCGGGTGCGCAAAAAAAGGTCACATTTGTCCCACTCCCAAAACCTGCGCAAAAAATTGCTTTTATATTTTTTTTCCCGCAGGCGCACTTTTTAGAAAACGCATTACTCGACAATTACCGAGGTACTCGAGCTATTACTCGAGTGATTACTTACTCATTCAAATTTACTCGAGTAATTACTTACTAATTACTAATTACTTAGTAATTACTTACGAGGAACACACTCTAGTTAACAGTGCTCTAGTTAACAGTGCTCTAGTTAACAGTGCTCTAGTTAACAGTTAACAAGGAGGAACACACTCTAGTTAACAGTTAACAACTCACATTCCTTGTCAACTCGTTTTGTTTCCTCCGAAATACGTGCGCATGTGTGTTTACCTAAGGAAATTTGTTCTTTATGCATTTTGTAAAAAGAACATTTGTTCGAATTGGAGAAACTTTTGAAGGAATTGTATCTCCACTGACAGCTACAGCATTTGATCTAAACGAATTTACTGTTATTGTGCTGAGAATTTGTGTAACCTTGAGTCAAAACTCTCGACTGATGAGAACGGGATGGATTTCTGTCAAAAAAAAACAATTGATTTATAACAAAGAAATCAACAAACTTTGCTGTTTTTATAAAATGTATTCAAGCGAATCGGAGAATCGATCATTTGTTTTTGGAGGTTTAAAGCTAAAGAATGTTAAAGAAAAGCTAAATGTTTATAAGCTAAATATCTTTTTAAAAAAATACAATCAATTTTCGAGATAAAGATTGAACAAATGATGTTGAAATGATTCTAAAAAGCTCTCTTGCATTCTGCTTAGTTAGCTAAATGCAATCGTTGGCTTTTTAGAGAAGCAAGAAATTTGATTTGAGCAATTTGAGGTACTTTAGAAGGCACTTTAGAAGGCACTTTCATTTTTGAAACATCAAGTCGAAATTTTTGGTCTTGAATTAGAGTCAATTGAAATCAGATCGTCAGTCAGATTAGTCAGATCGTCAGTCAGATCAGTCAGATCGTCAGTCAGATCAGTCAGATCGTCAGTCAGATCGTCAGATCGTCAGTCAGCTCAGTCAGATCGTCAGTCAGATCGTCAGATCGTCAGATCGTCATTCAGATCAGTCAGATCGTCAGTCAGATCGTCAGATCGTCAGATCGTCATTCAGATCAGTCAGATCGTCAGTCAGATCGTCAGATCGTCAGATCGTCATTCAGATCAGTCAGATCGTCAGTCAGATCGTCAGATCGTCAGATCGTCATTCAGATCAGTCAGATCGTCAGTCAGATCAGTCAGATCGTCAGTCAGATCAGTCAGATGGTCAGTCAGATCGTCAGATCGTCAGTCAGATCATCAGATCGTCAGTCAGATCGTCAGATCGTCAGTCAGATCGAGAGTCGATTGTAATTGTTACAAATTTGATTTTCCAATCAAGCCACCCGTTCTATTGAGGGGATTTGTGACGAGTGGTTGTATTGGAGAAGGTTCAACGTGTGATCGACGAGAATTTCCCGAGAAATCATTCGAAATCGGCATCGAGTCAATCTAAGCATTTCTATGTCTTCATGTGAACAATTCTCCACTATATTCTATTTGATATCTACCGTTGTTGTGCCCGTAATGTCATTTAGAGTGATCGGATGAAGTGGCACTGATTGGGTTGAGGCAAAACTGGAAATTTTGTCTATCAAACAAGACGTAAGTCAGGAAATTTTGAAAGAGAAATTAGCAGTTTTCAATTCACCAACCGAACACAAAACTAGCAAATGAATCAAGAGAATAATTCAAACTTTTCAAACCAACACTTTAGCTCGTTTTCTTGATAAAACATTGACAAGAGAGTTGGGATCAGGCTAAAATAAAAAATAAAAACTAAAAGATAAGCGTCCCTTACCGTTGAAGAAATAAAACCCGAAGCAGCTACAAAGATTTGATTAATACTAAAAGCTTTTTTGAATACATTGGATTGGATTGGATACAAATCATCAATCATACAAATCATCTGCAATCATTTCCTACCTCTCTTTTAGAATCTTTTCATCAATTTCTTTAATCGGAATCGTTGTCCTCTGATCTTTTGCCCATTCATTGTTCTCGAAAGACTTCTCGATCACTTTTGTCTCATTCACTCGTCTTGCCACTCTATTTCGATCATTTGATAAACAAATGTTCTCATAGAAATCGATCTCCAAATTTGGAGCCACGTGAAAGTTTTCAAGACGATCGCTTCTAAATACTTTCTTGTTTGAGATTTTGAAGCAAATGATTCAAAGCACAAACGATAGTGAAAGCTCTTGTTGCTCTTGTTACTCTTGTTGCTCTTGTTGCTCTTGTTGCTCTTGTTACTCTTGTTGCTCTTGTTGCTCTTGTTACTCTTGTTGCTCTTGTTGCTCTTGTTGCTCTTGTTGCTCTTGTTGCTCTTGTTACTCTTGTTGCTCTTGTTGCTCTTGTTGCTCTTGTTGCTCTTGTTGCTCTTGTTGCTCTTGTTGCTCAAAAAAGTTCAACCTTTCTTGCTCACCTTCTATGTCGACTTAAAACACAATCATTTGTGTCTCTTCTCCACATCACCGATCGACATTCCAAGAAATTGAGTCGATTTGCCTAAAGGTTAGTGTGATTTTCTGAAACTATTGAATAACTTCAACACTTTTAGCTATTTCTTGATACTTGTTAAAGCCTGTAAAGCAACTGTTTCAAATATAAATCAAGAATTTACAAACGAAAATTTGCTTAAAACTTTCTAAGTCTATCATATTTCATCTGGTCAAAAGCAGAAGATCTCTTCGTCGTCGTTCATTAGTTCTACTAGTGAACTTTCAAATCCAGTTTTCTCCAGTTTCTCCAGTTTCTCCAGTTTCTCCAGTTATGAGTTTTCTCCAGTTTCTCCAGTTATCCAGTTATGAGCTATAGCTCAAAAGATCGAGAGTTTTAAGAGCTTTCGAATCGATTAAAGTACACTCAAAAATCTCAATGCTAAAGAAAGTTATATTGGTTTATAGTCAAAGCAATCAATGGACTACAAACCACTGTAAAATTGAGATTTTTAGATGATTAAAACTTTCTGTTTATCATATTTCATCTGGTCAAAAGTAGAAGATTTCTTTGTCGTCGTTCATTAGTTCTACCAGTGAACTTTCAAATCCAGTTTTCTCTTTTCTTCACTTTCCCCAACTCTCAACGGGGTGAGTGTTATTCTTGAGTGAAAGTTTCTCTTCTCTCTCTTCTCCTCTTCTCTTCTTTCTTTCTCTTCTCTCTCTCTCTCTCTTTCTCTCTCTTCTCTTCTCTTCTCTCTTTCTCTTTCTCTTTCCTTTTGCCCATAAGGTATGCAGCAACCCCTCCAAATCAACAAGAGAAACCAACACAAATCTCAAGGTCATTTCTGGCATTAGAGCTAGATTAGTTGAAAGCTTAGTCTGTCTAGAATTCTGGAATAAAAGGACTTACCTGTAGACATCTTTCAAGACATTCACTCGGTGACGACAAATTCCCAATAAAAACCGCTCCCGATCGCTGCAAGTAACGATTGCTGTACAAAAGAAAACAAGAGAATACATCAGGATCCGCGTTACTAAATAAAGAACATATTATTATATAGAATATTATATTGCACTTAAATCAAATACTATTCTACAATTTTTTTTTGATTTAAAACTACACTACTGGATAATGAAATATCATATTTGAAAATCGTCACTTTCGCGCGTCTGTAACTCCCTTGTCTTTGAGTTTAAACTATTAGTGTTATACATTTTCTGAAAGCTCTTTTCAACGGCTACACAATGGTAATATTAATATTTAGAAATACGGTAAAGACAAGGGAGTTACAGACACTTTTGTTTTGTTTTAAGTTTTGTTGTTTCATTTAATGGAAAAGAGAAATTTTCAGATGCAACCGTTTCCGAATATCTCACCGAAGATGAATTTTTAAGGTCACTTTCAGGTTTGTGCGCAAAATAAATACCTATTCTGATGTTTTGAAAGACTAATTCCTTTTGATTACCTTAGAAAATGTGAAGGGATTTAATTTTAGCAGATTTAAGCAGCAGAAATCTCGAAGCAATCTTTAGCAGCAATCTCGATTGCAGATTGTATATCTGTAGCCTTCTAGATTGCATATCTGTGGCCTTCTAGATTGTACACTACTGGACAATGAAATATCATATTTGAAAAAGATCGTCATTGGGTCTGTAACTCCCTTGTCTTTACCGTATTTCTAAATATTAATATTACCATTGTGTAGCCCTTGAAAAGAGCTTTCAGAAAATGCATAACACTAATAGTTTAAACTCAAAGACAACGGAGTTACAGACGCGCGAAAGTGACGATCGTTTTTCAAATATGATATTTCATTGTCCAGTACTGTATGCTTTATAGACTAATGAACTTGTCTAATAAACTAATAAACTAATAATTAATAAAGTAATAAACTAATAAAGTAATAAACTAATAAACTAATAAACTAATAAACTAATAAACTAACAAACTAACAAACTAATAAACTAATAAACTAACAAACTAACAAACTAACAAACTAATAAACTGTAAGTTTGTAATTACTATAAATCACCAATCATATCCGATTCAGCCAAAAAGACTGATTATTATTCAATTTATTTTGAAGATATTGAAAGTTTACAATATTTTTTAAACAAAAATTAACTCTAGCATAATGTAATGATCAGATTCAATGATAAAAAAGCTAAAAGAGTAAAGAAAAACAAAACAAAAACTTGTTAAACAATCAAGCAATCTATTCATCAAATTTGCCTCAATTTTAACTCAATTTTAACTACGAAAAATATAGAAACTTGAATCCTTAAAAACTCACCAATTTGTCCATAAAGCAATAATTGATATAAGGTTTGCAATAAGTGATCTCCATCTCATGCTCATCCCATCGATGGATTTGAGGAAAAGATCTCCACCTCACAACACAGAAACAAAAAAAAAAGAGAGAAGCTTTGCCCTCCTTTCTCTTTTCTGCCATTTTACAGAAAGGGGTTGATCTTTCGCTGGGAAAGGGAAGAATGAGACTGCATCTTCTGTCTTTTGTCTTTTGTCTTTTTCTTTTTCTTTTTCAGATGTCATCAATGCACTCAGTCTCTCTCCTTAAGTGAAAGAAAAAACATGTGCTCTCCTCCGGCAATTCTGCTGCCGTTTCACTTTTCTGAAATGAAATCGGTTGGCAGAACACGATGATCTAGATTTAGCAATTAGATTTTGAGAAATGTTTTAATAATGCTAGCTCTGGGTATGATTATGTTGGGAAGAGATTCCCAAAAAACTTCTATTTTGCACTAACTCTCGTTTTGTCTTTTGTACGTGTCAACTGGAGTGGCGCGTCGTCGTCAGTGTTAACTGGAGTGGCGCGTCGTCGTCAGTGTCAACTGGAGCGGCGCGTCGTCGTCAGTGGCAACTGGAGTGGCGCGTCGTCGTCAGTGTCAACTGGAGCGGCGCGTCGTCGTCAGTGGCAACTGGAGTGGCGCGTCGTCGTCAGTCTTTCAATCCTCATTTTCAATTGTTTCTGTTCTTCTTCCTTTGTGATATTAATTTCATCTTTGTTAGATAAATTTCACATTTCTGAAATAGCAATCTTATACCATTACAGCACTCAAACGTATATAATAGGCTGAGAAAGACCTGCAGGACTAAAAAAACTGTTGGCTTACAGTTTACTTATCAAAGAGGTGGCACAGTACACTACAGTATGAATTATAGAACTGTCTGATCACCCTGACTCATGCCACAAAACCCATCAAAGAAAAAATAGGATAAGATTGAAGTTTAACTTTGTTTTACAGACAGTTGAATCGAGGGAATGAAAGTTGATCGTCCCGCAGTAAGTGAAAGCATTTTGCGGTTTGCGTTTCGCGGTTCTTTACCTGCCTTGCTTCATCTTTATCCAAATTTTCAAGGCATAGTAGTAGCACTAAAGTTGAAGCTGAAGGTAAAGGCTGAAGGTAAAGGGCTGAGGTAAAGGCTGAAGGTAAAGGCTGAAGGTAAAGGCTGAAGGTAAAGGCTGGAGGTAAAGGCTGAAGGTAAAGGCTGAAGGTAAAGGCTGAAGGTAAAGGCTGAAGGTAAAGGCTGAAGGTAAAGGCTGAAGGTAAAGGCTGAAGGTAAAGGCTGGAAGGTAAAGGCTGGAGGTAAAGGTACTTTTTAAATCTTAGATGACTCAAGGTTGGACAAGTCAAAAGCCAAAGTTAGTCGAGTCAAGCCAAAGCCAGGCTGGTTCTTGGCTTAGCCTAGAAAAGTGCTTACAATAACTGATCCTGGGTTTTTTCAGAAAGCCTTTATTTTCTTCTTGTCTATTATTTGTCCCAAATCATCGACCAAAGACTTTTCATTGTTTTTTTCGGGTTTTTCTAACGACCCATCCAAACAAGTGTCCCCAATTTCATGAGTGATGAGCTCACAGGGAAATAAAAAAAGGGTTTTGGAAGAAATTGATTCGTAACCCTTCCATACTCACAAATATTTCTCTCGAAAAAGTGAGTGCTCGGAATCTCGGATTTCCATTGAAAAGCTATCTCTTTTTCAAAGTCTATTCGCATTTCCCTTTTCAAATTTCATTCCATTTCCATATTAGCCACTACGTAGTCAATTTTTTTAAAAACCAAATAATGATGTGGAAAAGTTGTAAATGCAAAAAAAGTGATGCAATAAAAGTTCATAAGTTTTGATTTCATTAAGTTTCCTGATTTTGGAATCTTCAAGACCATTTTGTTTTATAGTATTTCGGATAGAAGAACAGAGATATCAGAGCTCTCAAAGCCCTTGTTCAGATAAGATGAGTGTTATAGGGCTGGAAAATGGCTCAAAAATCTGTTAGCTCATGTGGTATTTTTGAGTCATTTTCCAGCCCTATAGCACTTCATTGAAAGCTTTATGCAGAAAAGAAATTTTAAAAGGGTTGCTACGCAGGAGTACGCGATGATACTTTTTACCCGGTCTTCTATTCGGAAGAAATACGGTAACTTGTTTTCTTCTAAAAATTCTACAGTAAATCGTATCGAAAATGGTGGAAAATGATTTGATTTCAATGAAACAAAGTTTACATTGAGATTTGGATTGAATTACTCCTGTGCAGTGTTGTGTTTCAGTGGTAGAATGTTCAGTGGTCGAATGCGTAGTTGGTTCAGTTTCTCTTTGCGCCAACAGTTGTCCAGAACTTCGCCAAGTCCCACGGGCCACAGCAACAACAAAAAGGTGGTGGCAGACAGAACGCATTCCCACAAAAAGCGCACGAGGTGAGGCAAAAAGCGATCTTTCAGAGGCGGGACAAGAAAATCAGACATTCAACTCAAAACATTAAATAAGATTTCACAGAAAAGAGCCACTTTTCTGCACAACTCCAATCATTTTCATTACTCCAATCATTTCAATCATTTTCAATCATTTTCAATCCAATCTTTTTACAATAAACTTTACATTTTCGTAAAGTAATCGCAAATTTATGGTAATCTGAATGGATTTAGATAATAAGTTAGATTTCTGGATTTAGATAACAAGTTTTTATACAAATGTTGACAAACATTAGGTGAGATTTCGAGATTATTAAAGAGAGATCGATAAGAAAAAGATCACAATCAGAAGTCAAACGGGAAAATCGGGGAACGGAAAAAAAAAACCATAAAAAGGATTTAAACGAAAAAAGAAACTTTCAAATCTTTTCTTAGATCTAAGATCTATTTTGAGAGATGAAACAATTTTGAAGAGAATCTCCGAAGAAAAGAGATTTCACATTCACCTTCTCTTCCCGAAAAGCTCTGAAGTTCGTGCACGTCGGAAACGACCCAATGGAGAGTCCAACTGGAAATGCAAATCAAAGTTAACAATGTTTTTTCTAAAGATATTTTAAAAGATATTTTCAAAGATCTTTTAAAAGATTCAGTCTTCTACTACAGTAATCAATCATTAGACAGTAATCATTACTTCGATCATTAGACAGTAATCATTACTCGATCATTAGACAGTAATCATTACTTCGATCATTAGACAGTAATCATTACTTCGATCATTAGACAGTAATCATTACTTCGATCATTAGACAGTAATCATTACTTCGATCATTAGACAGTAATCATTACTTCGATCATTAGACAGTAATCATTACTTCGATCATTAGACAGTAATCATTACGATTGACTCAGAAACTGTTCTTCAAGTCAGTCATTTGACTGACGACTTATTCCAATGGAAAAGAATCTTTGAACTTTACAATATCTTAATATCTTTGTTATCTAAATCTAAAGCCTAAATCTAAAGCCAAAATCTAAAGCCAAAATCTAAAACTAAAGATCTATAAGAAGAAACATAAACTGACTTGATTCAAGAGCTCGATCTCCAACTCCTCACTCGGCATCTCCTCCAATGAGGTATCCGATCGTTTACCTGAATATCTTATTCGTAAAAAACGTCTAGAATATAGATTACTGTATTTAGTAATAAAATTTGGATTAGATACTAGTTGAATGAGTGTTTTTTTAAGATTCTAATTGGTTAAATAACTCGTTTTAATTTCAATTAAAGTTTACTGATTGACTAAGCCTAGTTTACTGATTTACCTAAGTTTACTGATTGACTATTCTGAGAGAATTGAGTACAAAATTTTGACATAAATTTTCCCCCTATAAAGTCTATTTGCTTTTCTGATATTAAGAGATTCCTATTTTCATTTCTATTTTCATTTCTATTTCCATTCCTATTTTCATTTCTATTTTCAATTTCTATTTTCAATTTCCATTCAAACACTTTCAAATATCTTTTCCAACTTCTTTTCCTGCTCACCAAAAAGTTCTCGTGCTTTTTTCTTCTCGACGATCAGTTTGCTTCTTTTTCCGAAAAGTTCACGTCCTCGTTTGACTTGAAGACCCGCTGAAATTCAAGATCTACATCCTGTTGTCTACGTTTTTTGCAGAGGATTACGATTGCATCAAAAGCCAAAGAGTTGATTAAGCTCGGAAAATAGCGGAAAATAATGGGCTTATATAACAGGATACATAAGAGGATACATAACAGGATACATAACAGGATACATAACAGGATACATAGCCAGCTTATCATTGACAATAATCAGAGCTATCATTGGCTCAAGACCATAGCTCTGATTACTCGGTCTTAATTTGTTTTTTTTTCTACAATACCCATGGAAAACTAAATCATAAATCAGAGATTCAGCTGGAATAATGACTGTGTGATGGTTGAGCTTAATGAACTAGCTTAAGGCTCAATGCTCAATAGCTCAATGGCTTAATGAACTTAATGAAAAGTCAATGACCCTTTAGACCTTTTTAGACCAGTTACAGTTATTACTTTTTAGTAGGCCTCTTACTCTAATAGTCAATAAGTACAATAATTTCTTAAGCACCAACGATATTCGGAAAGATCGACAGCTCGTTTCACGACTCTCCAATCATTCCCTTGATCTGGCATCGGAACATAGGCACAAACGGCCGCCACAAAAACTGCCATCAGGAGGACCCAGTTCATTGCTGATTTGCTAAAAGAAATATTTGATATAACAAGAAAAAGAAAAAAAGAAAAGAATTATTTATAAAAGAAAGAAAGATAAGCTGAGAATCGGACAAAACATCTCAGACATCACGGAAATATCGATATGATGAAGTTCGAGGAGAGGTAGGGGAAAGGGAGATTCCATCTATCGTGGTGTTCTATTGCTTCAAATCCCCTTTGTTTCAGAATCTTTATTTTGATGGGGGACGGGGGCGGATAGAATGAAAAGATGAGATGAAGAAGGGGAAAAGGATAGACTGGATGAGCAGGGATCGTTCATTCCCACGTCTCTTTCCCATCTTTCACTCTTTTCTATCCGAAAACCCCATCAGAATTACTTTGTTTCCTTTTTGAGAATCCACATTGTTGCTAAGTGTCAACAAATGAACAATTTGTGATATGAAGGGGAGAACTAATCAATCAATCTAAGCAGGAAGAAATGCTTAGCTGGTCTGGCACTTCTAGAACTTTCAGAACTTTCAGAACTTCCAGAACTAAGTGAGAAATAATCCTTGATCATTTTAAAGCAAGAATCTGTAAAAACATGTAAAAACTAGATCTTCTTAGATCAAGATACTGGGCAAGATCAAAGGTTCAAGAGAACAAACTCTGCAAATGTTGGGCTTGTAGAAGGTCTTGTAAAAGATCTTGTAGAAGGTCTTGTAAAAGATCTGGTAGAAGATCTAGTAGAAGATCTGGTAGAAGATTTGGTAGAAGATCTGGTAGAAGATCTTGTAGAAGATCTAGTAGAAGATCTGGTAGAAGATCTTCTACAAGATCTTCTACAAGATCCACATTCAACAAGATCAACCCAGATCAAACTCGACACGGTTTATAACCAAAAATGAAAGAAAAATTCTAGTACAAGTACAAATTTGGATCTTGTAGAAGATTGCAATTCTAAAAGCTTATAGTTAGAATCTCAAGATCTTACGGTATCGCCTTTAAGAGTCATGAGAAACGATGAAAGCTCGCAAAAATGTAAATGCCACAATGCCACAATGAAAGTCGAGCATTCTTCTTATAAACGAGTCGCTTGATAATCAGAAAGTGAAAGGTTGAAGAGAAGAGGGAGGATCGTCTTTCCCTCCACTCTGCTTAGAGGGGAAAGACGATGGGACTCTGACGATTGGACTGACTCTGACTCTGCTTCAACCCTCTCCTCCATCTCCGTCTCTAAAATCGCGTTTCTTCTTGTCTTTCTGTAAAAGGAAACCTTTTCAAAAAATGGATACAACTATCGTTTACACTCTCTAGAATAAGGTTTTCTTCTTTTCGTATTCTCAAATGGAAGAAATGTGTTGATTGCGCCATCAACAGCTCAATGATGATGATCGTGGGGTTTTGGAAGAAAAAGAATGAAAAAGAATGAATCTGAAAATAGATGACCTGATTGAAGAGTGGGTGGAAGGAAAAATAGTCGTAAGAAGGATTGACGTCTCTCACTCGTATCACTTTCATTTTCATTATTGGCATTTATTTTCATATGTTTATTTTAGATCGAATACTTTGCTAAGATGGTGTTCAGGTTTTTTTTGAATCTTTCATTAAAAAGCTTGCGTTTTATCTTCTTATACATTTGATTTCAATTTCTTTTAGAGAAAGGATTATTAGAGAAAAGATCATTAGAGAAAAGATCATAGTGGTTAGGCACAGTTGGTGAATAAGTGAGAGGTTGCGGGTTCGAGTCCTCGCGGCGCATACGTTTTTGATCTTTCCTAGTTTCAACTGAGCTTTCTCGCAAAAGCTAATGATCATTAGAGAAAAGATCATTAGAGAAAAGATCATTAGAGAAAAGATCAATGAAATCAAATCCAAGCACTTCCAAGCACTTCCAGGCACTTTTCAATTTCAGAGTTACATTTCTAAATTAATTCAGCTTTTCATAATTTGCATTTGTTTATATTTAAATGAAAAATAGAGTTAAATTATTTGTTAAAAATAGTTTGTCATTTTCTAATCTGTTAAAAGAGACTTTTAAAGGAGTAGTGACATTTTGAAGGTTCCCTTCAATGTCTTTTCAATCAAAAAACATTACTTCTTCGGAGGAGATCACATTGTTGTGCTTCTCGTAACAATTCGTGATTTCTTTATCATCTGGATCGATCGACCGTTTCAATTAAATGATCGTTAATTTCCTAGACAGTGCTTAGATTTGATGTCATTGATCTTTTCTCTAATGATCTTTTTTCTAATGATCTTTTCATTGATCTTTCTTCTAATGATCTTCTTTCTAATGATCTTTCTCTAATGATCTTCTTTCTAATGATCTTTCTCTAATGATCTTTTCACTGATCTTTCTTCTAATGATCTTCTTTCTAATGATCTTTCTCTAATGATCTTTTCATTGATCTCTTTCATCTTCAGCACACTTTTCCTTTTAAACATTCAATTTTCGTTACGTTTTTCCCCATTTTCCCACTCATTCACATAGATTTTGAGTCTTTTCCGCCATCATTTTCAGAGTTCCGTTTGTTCTTATCCAAAAACAAAGAAAACAAGAAAGAAAACTGAAATCCGCTCGAGAAACCAGAAAGACAATGTGATGTGTGATGAAGATTTGATGAATCGAAAGAATTTGAAAAAAAATTAGGGTAGAGTCACTCTCTGCAACGAATTGTTTCATCGTTTCATTGTTTAATTTGAAATTTTACTTAAAACAATGCTCATACGATCGATTGCTTTTCTTTTCGCGATGAAATTCGCATCAGCTGGTGGGGGTTTTTTATTGAAAAATCAACTCCAACTTCCGGACAACTTTTTGAACCAAAATCGGACCAAAAATCAACTTCAACTTTTTTTTTGCAATAGTTTAAAACTCTCTTCAATCTCTAGATTTATTAAATTTCACAAATTTCAGTGAAAAATCTTCCAAATCCAATTCATTTCATCAAATTTAATCAATGGGTTTGTTTTATAGGTTTTGTTGAAAAATTGAAATGATTTTTTTCTTTAGCATGACACCGATTTTGGACTTGATTTTTGTGGGATCCCAAAAACGGGATCAACAATAACTGGAGGCATTCTTTGTGATGTTTTGAGGATTACAAGGCAATTCCCTATAGACAGCACTTCTCAAAAACGATCATTGGGGAGAAGTGAGTGGAAACAACTTTTTAAATTCATTGAATAACTTTAAAATTCATTCAATAACTTTAAAATTCATTGAATAACTTTAAAATTCATTCAATAACTTTTAAATTTAACTGAGTTCATGTTCTTGGTGCGCATTCGATGCGCTATTTTATTCTGTATCGAATGATAGTTTAAATAGTCAAAATTCATTGAATCACTTCTCCACCCATTAAATAACTTTAAAATTCATTCAATAACGTTTTAAATTCATTCAATAACTTTTAAAATTCATTAAATAACTTTAAAATTCATTCAGTAACTTTTAAAATTCATTCAATAACTTTAAAATTCATTCAATATATATATATATACTTTATCCGACAAGGAAAAGTGACAATGCAAACAGATTGAACAGCGTAGACGAAGAAAGATAATTGATATACAAACACAACTACAATTAGACACGTATATATGATATTAAAAATTAATTTAAAATTGACAGAGCTACAAGATCGAGCTTATATATTGAGGGATTTAAAATAGTTAACAATAACTTTCAACATTCAGTAACTTTAAAATTCATTGAATAACTTTTAAATCTTAACTGAGTTCATGTTCTTGGTGCGCATTCGATGCGCTATTTTATTCTGTATCGAATGATAATTTAAATAGTCAAAATTGAAGGGTTTATGCTGAGAAAAAAGATGAAAACCTTAGCTAACGGCAAAAAAGAAGCGGCAAATGTTTTCGTTACAAATTTAATCTTTTCAATTGATGGAATGGAAAAACTTTTTACTGATTGAACAAAAAAGAAAGCAACTAATCCAGAAACAAGAAACAAAGAGGACCCTTCCAATCAATCTCCCCTTTTATTGAGCCAGAAAGGATTCGTTTAGGCGCTAAGCTTTTGTACAGCAAGAACACACCGTAAAAGAGAAGCCGTTTGGAGGAAAGTATTCTGGAAAAGATTCAATTGATGATGAAAATGGTATAAGTTATTTGAAAACTGAGAATCTATTATTAGATATTGTAGATGAGTGTAGAATATTGTAGATGGATGTAGATTATTGTAGATGGATGTAGATTATTGTAGATGAATTCTAGACAATTGTAGATGAATGTAGAATAAATATTGTAGATGAATTCTAGACAATTGTGGATGAACGTAGATTATTGTAGACTATTGTAGATGAATGTAGACAATTGTAGATGAATGTAGATTATTGTAGACTATTGTAGATGAGTGTAGAATATTGTAGATGAATGTAGATTATTGTAGATGGATGTAGAGACTATTGTAGATGAATGTAGACAACTGTAGATGAATGTAGAATATTGTAGATGAATTCTAGACAATTGTGGATGAATGTAGATTATTGTAGACTATTGTAGATGAATGTAGACAATTGTAGATGAATGTAGATTATTGAAGACTATTGTAGATAGAATTCTAGACAATTGTGGATGAATGTAGATTACTGGAGGACTATTGTAGATGAATTCCTAGACAATTGTGGATGAATTCTAGACGATTGTAGATGAAATTTTCCAGTGAATGCACTAAAACAATCCCTACCGAAATCAAGCTTTGTCTCAAAATGGTCTCGCCCCATATTTCCTAGTTAAATTCACGACTGCTCGCCATCCAATCGATCGTTTTGTTTCATTGTATGGACATTTTTGTGAGTGAGTGATATACTTTCAGCTGAATAGCTTCAGTTTCGTGAGAAATTTCAAATAAAAGAGGCAGCTACGGAAAAATTGACGCAGAATTTCCGAAGCGGCGCTCCGTAACTGCCTTCATTTCTTTGAATTTTCGCACTAAACTAAGAGATATTCATTAAAGGATATTAAAGTGAAAGTACTTTAAAAGGCCCGTATTTACTCTATTAGTGGGGTCC